TTGTAAGCGACGGCTATGATTTCTCCGGCGATAACAACGAGCATAGTAAATTCATTCCAGGAAAAAGTTAGTTCACCACAGTCAATCTCATCTTCAAAATCCACTAACGCTTTCCTCATGTCTTTACAACATTCTACTGTTAAGCTTATCGATGTGATGTCAACTTTGTCTCTTGCGACCTCCATAAGTCTTACTAAATGTCCAACTATTCTTTTCACAGATACAGAACAGCAATGTAAATCCAAGTTTAGAATCTTCCTCGCATAGAAATCCAGAAGAAGTGTCAAATCCCGCTTGATTTCATACTCGGTCAACTCTTTAACAATATCGAATCTATTAATTTTACGCATAGCTTCTTTCACAAAATTTACATCTTCCCACGAAATCTTTCCCTTGTACTCCAAAGAACGTAATATATCAATTGTATCAGTAACCTGTTTCGAAATAAGTCCACTGCAGTAATGTAGCAGCTTCTTTTGATGTTCCTCATCTAATTTAAATGAAATTTTAAGTAAAACACTGTTGTAATCTTGTAGAAGTTTGTCAGTCATCGTTCGTGTTAAGGGTGTCATGGCGGCTGAATAAGTACTGAACAGTTAGACGAGTCGGCATGCCAACATTTTATACCCCAGAATGTTTAACAACACCAAAATAGAAAAATGCAATGACGTGTTTAATGGACCGTCCCAGGCGACCGGTCAAGCAAAAGTGAGAGTTGTTGTGTGATAACAAGTGCCCGGATGTTTTGCAAAGTATTTTATCCATACGCGGTGTTTCCGGCAATCTGTAAATCTGTTATGGCGTAAAAGACCGGCAATTTCTACACTGAAAACGTCTCGCCCATCGGTTAAGTATCGGCGCTATCGGCGTATCATCACTGACCCACCGGTTTTCAAAACGTTTTTAGCCCCCTTCAGCATGGTTTACACATTTGTTTAAAGATCTTGTTTTGTGCCCGAATTTAAATGCATAATAATGATAATGCTCAGTGATAAGAAGTTGTCTGCTACTAATATGTAATTACTTAAGGAGTTTCTGTTGAGCGTTAATCACTTCGTAGCAAATGTTGGACTAAGCGAGACCGTATATTGCTTATTTCTACTAGAAACATTCCAGGAGATGATGTCAGAGGCACTTGTGTCAATTTGCTTGCAGTTGTGTGATTATTGTGGAGTTTTTGTTAGCCAGACAGAGAAGGAAATGAGGAACTGACCTCACGAGTCTGACCTCACGATTCACGCAAGTTAACGATGATGCTAAAGAGGTTTTGAACATTTTTATCTTGAAATTCCAATCAGCCTGACCTATATTTATGTTTTCATTGGTGGTAACTAGTTGGCTGTATATCAGTTTAATCAGCCCAGCCCAGCCCAGTACGTAAGTCTGTTTTCCGGAACGGATGAGAACTGATGAATTTCTCACAGGACGCCGGACACTTGAAAACGGCGGTTTCGTAAGTTATCAAACGTGCGCATACAAAATACTCGTTAAGTGGTGTTATAATACCGAGTCATAGAAGTGATTATTTACAAAAGATAGTCGTGATATCAAAGGTCCTCAAAGAACACAAGTTGTGCAAAAGACTTGGGAAAACATCGGCAACAATCCAACAATTTGCATCAGTGCGAGTGTATCTTGAATACGTACAGTTCTGGATTAAATACCAAGTTGATGGTATAATTAATTACTTAGTTTGAACGCGTGGGTTCAGTATAGGCTGTAAAGTATAATATTTTTAAAATGCCTTCTGGGCGTACCGTATTGTTTGCTATGGCGGCATTTATATATGCATATTTGACAGAAATAACTGCTTTCAATTGGAAACACCGAAGAGGCTCCATCCTCTACTGTCTTGTTTGAAATCATTCTTTGTCGCTCCTAAAGTCGACCAAGCAACCTGCTTGAGCTCAGTTTCATATTTTAGAAGCTGGCAAAAACTATGAAAGTACTGAACCAGCCTCAGTACCCAGAACCATAAGACAGTAGTCAAAATATGGATACTTTTTTCAAACATGCTTGAATAAGCAGAAAAGCAACTGATACTCATGCATGAAGAAGAAAACGGTTATGCAAATTTCGAAGGCTTCTGCAATGGTCATGTTAGTGGTTGTGATAGTGGTAGTGGTAGCGAAAGAGGCCGGCAGTAGAAATAGACTCAGGCTTTAGCAGTGGTGAGGCATTGGTAATGATTTGGTAGTGGTAGTGGTAGACAATTATGAGTGGAAGTGTCAGCACCGTTGGTAGTGGAAGTAGCATGAAAGTGGCAGTGGCATGCCAGGGTTTGCTTATTTAAACTGTTAAAATGGTTTATAACATTAGATTAGCTTGGCCACTACATCTTCCCAGTTCTTGCATTGTGCTCTTCAGCCGCAGTGGAACACATCTCCACCAGTTGCTGATTCTGGTGACGTTTGCCGTTCGCTGAAGCTGCCCCAATAATTTCTCCAACGACAACAATTTGCATAGTTTAGTTTAGACAGTTTACGCCAAGGGGAAGATTGCTTACTACGACCATTTCTTTCCTCGAAACCATGTAACACCTTCAATTTTTGAAATTCTTGCTCAGTTCGACAAATGACCTAACGTTTCCAATCCAAGTCCTTTTCTCTTGTATAAATCTAGAAGAACCGTTAGATTCCTTTCCATTTTAAACTCGGTCATCAGTTTGAGAAGATTCAACCGTTTTATTTGACGCACCTTGCTATGTCTTCCAACGAAATCATTCCAGCATGTTCAAATGGAGTTAAGTCAGTTAAAAAATTCCAGTGTCTTCCACGAGAATCAGACCAGATCTAGAGTAGTATAAACAAAGTCCTTGCTGCTGATCTCGGTCCAGATTTTGAGTAGTGTGAGCAGCATAATCTTGTGGAAGTGCATTGTTATTATATTATCCTCGTTTGA